CAGAACAGAGCAGAGCAGAGCAGAGCAGAGCAGAGCAGAGCAGAGCAGAGCAGAGCAGAGCAGAGCAGAGCAGAGCAGAGCAGAGCAGAGCAGAGCAGAGCAGAGCAGAGCAGAGCAGAGCAAAAGACTTTACTATCCTAGAAACTAGAATCCATTCAGTTTTGTCGCCCAAATGTTATCAGGGTCCGTGCAGAGTATCAAAAACGAAATTTAAGGACTTTTCAAGGACTTTTCCCAGGACCAAAGTGCATTTTCAAGGAGCATCAAAATCATGCTAATTGTAGATTCTTACCTTAAAACTTCAGCAGAACGGAATAATTCAGAGATCGCTAGCGCTTCGTGATAGAGATCCATCTTTTTCAAGGAGTTTTCAAGGACTTTTTCGAAATTTTCAAATTTTCAAGGAGTTTCAAGTGCCCTTGAAAACGAGTTTTCAATTCAAGCAGTTTTCAAGGATTTAAGGACCTGCACGGACCCTGTGTTATGTATGTGTATCGCAATATATATCTGCCTATGTAGCATACCTTTATGTGCTGGTCGTTGTTCTTTTTAAACAACTTTTCTTCTTCTGACTCGATACCAAAACTAATATAAGGACTATTAATAACATCACCCCAGTATCCACGGCACGGTACTCGCTGGTCTCCCTAGCAACACAAAGAATTTACCAATCCGTACAGGGTTGTTTGAATTTCATCTAAGGTTTTTTTTAACGTTTGGCATAACTGATACTGCTACGAAAATTGCCACATTTCAATCCAAAAACTAAAAAGCAATATGTCAATTTCATCAGATTCAAGGAGTTTTCCAGAAGTTATAGCGATGCTTCCCATTTGCAAGAGCTTTTCAAGCGCACGTAAAAAACGAATTTTTTAATTCCAGGACTTTTAAAGGATTTTTAATATCTATTTCACAGGTTTCTTGACTTCACTCTACCGTATGGCTTAATAGTTAGTACCTTTTTCAACAAGAGTCCTGAAGCCAATGTTCTGTTAGAAACTTCATAAGTGGAATCTTGTCTAAGTTCAAACGCCACTCCATGTTCTCGCCAACCTTTATATTCGTGACTGTTTACTATCGAAGCCTGATCAAGAAAATATTAATTGCTTTAATAGGTGTTCACAACATACTGTAAGAGTGTAATAATCTCTGAAAAGCCATGGTTCACCAGCATTCAGTACACTGTCAAGCTTTCGATTTTTTTCATGTATGGACAATGAGATGACTTCAAATATCCATTCACAATCCATTTCAATCCAGCAGTTTTACGTTCAAATCTTACAATATCTCCATTCATAGATCATAAAGGTATAATAAAGAGTAAGTTTTTGCTTATATTACGATGTATTTTGTATTCAAACATAAACAAAAGTTTGAAAGGATGTTGGTGGACCATGACCCTTTTATATTTAGCCAAGTAGCAATAGCCCTTTTCTGAGAAAGGAGTTTGCATTGCATTGTGGTCTAGCAAATATGACATTGTTTGTAATGAAGCTAGACCACAATGCACCATGATCTCGTATTTCAGAAAAAGTCTGTGCAGACGATGGTAAATGCTTATAAGCATGCCAGCAATGCGGGTGATAGAGTTTTACCATTTTCTGTAGTTTCATGACCAAATCCCAATCAAATATGTTTTCTCTGGAATCATAACGAACTCCTAAATACTGCCGCAGTCTGGACTCCCTGTGCATTGAGATGACAAAAAATACCACAATTGAGAATACATGCCCATAATAGACCCAATTGACTAGCGCATTGCCATGTATGCTACCACACAATTCAAATCCTGTGGGAAAAAGACCTTTTGTTTCTAAGAATTCAACTATGAAATGAAAATACAACGAACAATGAACTTACTCTCAGGTGGTTTGAATTGGGTGGAAATGTTAATAGAAATGCGTTAAGCCAATTTTACACAAAAGATGCTTAAAAAATTTAACATTTTATTTGATGATCGAAGAACTGAGACATTTTTTAGTGTTGAGTCACATTCAGTGTTTTAAATTGGATAAAACATTTATCAATGTTTTATCAATGTTTTATCAGGGTTTAAACACTCAATTGTGTGACCTATCCCTCAATTTCAATTTGAAATAAAAGCTCATGAAATATTATTAATGATTTTGACAAAAGTGTGTAAACTTAAGGTTTTCTTACCAAGCGTTACAAATATCAAAAAGCTTTGGATCTGTGTTTCTCCAGAACTTGAAAATTCCTTCTAACATATCTCTCTCCTTGAACTGCAACCACAAGAAAAGTCAACTTTAACCATTAATATAAATCTAATATAAACATTTTGTTTTATATGACTATATTAAATCAATATCAATCAGCCATGTTTTTCTCTATCCTGCGATACCAAGACCATGTAGCATGAGAGAAGCAAGCTTACAAACATCAGTGCCTGCAACAAGACTTGACACTCAAGCTCTGAATTCTACTGCTCCCATTTATATCCAAGAACTTGTTCAAAGATACTGTCCTGCCCAAAAACTTCCTTCGTCATCTCAAGTGTTGCTGTCTGTAAAATCGTACAATCTDAAGTCCTGTGGTTATCGTTCGTTTTCTGTTGCTGCTCCCATATTATGGAACTCTCTACCTGCCTCTATTAGAAATATTACTGACATTAACTCTTTTAAATCCTGCCTTAAAACTTATTTTTTCAAACTTGCCTTTAATTTTTAAATTTTATTTATAACCTGTAATTTTTTTATTTGTATTTTTTTTTCTCAGCGCTTAGATCTGAGCTGTATAAGCGCTTTAAAAATTAACATTATTATTATTATTTATTATTAAAAGGGAGGGGTGGGAATGGATATACACAGGCTACCACCACTCTTTTGAAACTGATGGGAATGATTGACAACAAGCAATAATGAGATATATAATATACCTTGAGTTGAGACATGTCTATGCAAGGTAGCTGTGTTTTAACATACTCAAAGTCTGTCACCATTCTGAAATCCAAAAGGGTTAGTTCTTGAGTAATATTGAAAGGCCTAGCAAATGAACAGCCATTCACCACATCTCATCCCTCTTTATTCACCATTTGTACAGACATAGATATAAAATAATAATGAAATGGAAAGTGAAATGGAAAATGAAATTAAATGAAAAATGAAACGGGAAAATGAAATGGAAAATGAAATTAAATGAAAAGTGAAATGGGAAAATGAAAATGAAATGAAAAATGAAATGGAAAATGAATTGGAAAATGAATTGGAAAATGAATTAGAAAATGCAATGGAAAATGAAATGGAAAATGAATTGGAAAATGAATTGGAAAATGAATTGCAAAATGAAAATTAAATGAAAAATGAAATAAAAAATTAAATGGAAAGTGAAATAAGAAATGAAATAAAATAATATGAAATGAAAAAAGAAATGGAAAATGAAATGGAAAATAGAAAATTAAAATTATAAATAAACCTTATAAATTCATTTGCTTTAGTCTGTAAATATTCACTTGTTTGAGGTCTGATGAGGCTGTTGCCAAATAACTCCAGAAAAAGCTCAGTCTTTTCTATGAAAAAACACTCAACATATTAAATAATTATAAATAATTAATAAACTAAAATAATAACACATTAGAGCCAATGCACTTAATCTACCAAACTTAAATTATAACACAAAATACTAACTTATGGTCATTCCTTTGTTTTCTATTTTCAAATCAACGCTATTTAGTAATACTCCCTTTTCGAGTTCTTGGGGTTCGTTTGGAAGACCGCTGGACAAAGCTTGCGGGCGGATTGGGAACGAGGCTAACACAGCGTTATATTTGGTGCGAAGAAGAACATATGCTTGAAAACTGGAAATATCTTGATAAAATTACTCTTTTAAGTCAAACTACTGGCTGGAAAACGTTGTTATTTGCTAGAATCATTCTTAGAAAGCTATGGAGCAGTCAAGAAAGAGGAAACGTTCAGGTTTTGGCAGAGAATGTGCTTGTTTTGGTTGCGCGAACGCTCAATACTCAAAGAAAGATAACTTAATAATAAATTGATAAATATAATAAATTGACAGCTTTTGGAAATAAGTCTTGCCTAGGATACAAATAAATGAGAAAGCCCACCATTTCAGTCTTGTGGTCCCTTTCAGGATCAAAATCAAAACAAAATATCTTTTACAAAATAAAATAAAAACCAAGACATTTGGCATATTTTTACTTTGTATAAAAAATATCAAAACATCATAGTCATTTACCTTGAAGACCAAGTTTTTCTTTGGTTTCCATAGCGATAGCTAGTAACAATAAATGCCGGCATAATATCTCCAGATTGTTTTCAACAACAAAAATCTAAAAAAATATTCAGACAATAAATCATAACGTTATGAAAACATGAAATTATTGATAATTGATTTATGTAACATTGGTTGTGGCACACACGTCCTTTCCTTATTTTCTGTCTATTTATGCTGTTATTTCTCTTTTGTGCAAGCTTAGCTTCAATCAATTATAAATTTTTATTGTCTTTTTTGTAAAGAGTGTTTGCATTACAATAGATTCTCTGCTGAATAGAGCGGATTTCGTATGAGTGGGACACCGTTACCGTACGGTTACCGCACAGTTACCGGACCTGGCCTGCACAATTTTGGTGAACCAATGGGGCACTAGAATTTGGTTACAGTACGATTACGGTCACAGTACGGTATCGTCCGTTTCCCACTCATACGAAATCCGTTCTAAAAGAATATATTACATGAGTATTGAGAGTATTGCATATATGTTTCTTTTATTGCTTGCGCAACACTGCGCAGCATTCATTCTCAGTGGTGGGGGTTTATGTGACATTGAATTCCATTGTTCTGTTTGATTACATTACATAACATCAAATCAAGTGACCTACATTGATGTGTCTTTTATTCCATCTGTTTGAATGTGCCAAGGTTTTCAAGATATGCCTACAGTCCCCAGCTCCAACCATTAAAATATTGAAAGGATCTAAAACAGAGTGATAATTTAATAATAAAAAAATCTACTGATATCTCATCAATTTTAGTTCTAACTAAAATGTATTTATAATATTAATTAAAAGATATTCAATAGCTTGTAAACACTAAAAAATTATAATGAACAAACTCCTTGCATGTCGTGTCAAAGCAGCTTTAATATATGGAGGTCAAAACAAAAGTTTTTTTTCTCCACGTCATGGGAACTAGAATCCATTGTTTTGCCCTCCAGTTGGAGCTGCATTCCCATCAACTACAATCTGTCTATTATACGAATTCCTTGTTTTCTAAAGTCTGATCTACAATACATTGCGCTATTTAGCACTTTATAATGTTTTCAACAATTTTTTCTGGTTAGCTAAAGCGACGGAATTTAGCTTTTAAGCTTAAGCTTAAGCTTAAGCTTAACTTAACTTAATACAATTTCCACTTTTAATATAACCTTAAATATTTCACAATGAAATATTGCAAGTAGTTTATGTATTGCGACTAAAACTACGTACCTGAATCTGGTTTTTCATTTTCCTCTTTTATCTTTAATTTCTTTAGTTTTGATGTTAAATCTGTAGAGCGAAAATTACATTTAATTTCAGAATTTGGCTTCCCTTCGTTTCCATAGCACCAAAACTGTAAGAATCAACATCTTCAAAATCTGATACAACTCACTTGAACATTCACTTTGTAGATCCAACGCTGGGCTAAAGCCCCACCAGGTAATGGCACCAAAACCATCCGTCATTTTTTAAAATACCAGCAAAATACACGGTTAAAACAAGCGGTGAAATTTGTGTAACTTTGCCGCCATTTTGAATTTTCCTGATAGTTGGGATCCCTGTGGTCRGTCCCACTCTTTCTCCGTCGTAAGGTCTTACAAGATGGCGGCGTTGTKGTCTGAAATTCGTACAGGATTAAACCCGTTAATCAGGGTATTACACTGATAAAATGTTTATTTTGATATATTTGTAGTATATATGGATGTTTTAAGTAGGCTTTGATGGATTGATTTTGTTTCTTTGTGAACAGAGAGTGGGTTTGTTATCTTGGAGAAGTTCATCTACTGCAACTGGTTCAGGTGATTCGTCATCAACCTTTGTATCTGCTGACGTAGTCAAAGCTAAAGCTAAAGGTAGCTGTGGTTTCTATTGTTGGATTGTTGTCTCTTTGTTTACTGATTTGTTGATCAGATGGTTGATTTTTTTGGTGCATATGATTGATTGATTGGATGATGGATTGATTGATTGATTTAAATATTTGATTGATTGGATTATTGATGGATTAATAGGGTTGATTGATGGATTGTTTTGATGATGGGTTGATTGATGATTGATTGATTTTGTGGTTAATGAAATAAATGATTGATTGATAAATTGATTGATTGATTGGCTGTATGATTTATAGATTGATTGATTAATTGATTCCATGATGATCAAGGAATGAATTAATTGATTGATTGATTTGATGATTGATGAATAGGTTGGTTCATTGATTGGGTGATTGATTGATTGAATGAATATTTGATTGATTGATGTTTGGCATTAATTAAATATAAAAATAGTGAGTTAGATATGGACTCCCAAAGGTTTGAAATAAGGCAATAATGTCATTGTGGAATTATGTTGGTTCACTTTGTCAACAAAATTATACCCTGTTTGAGTGATAACAAAAACCCCTGGCACACACACCCTCCAGCTAAAAACCTTCCTCAGCCCTCCCCCCTCACAACAACCCACAGAAATTCATTCTTTTCATAATTATATCTTATAATAAAATTATCATGTTTTTAAGTTTCAGCACCAAAAAAAGAACCAGAGCCATTTGATAACAGTACATACAAAGTAGAGGAGTACTTCTCATATGATGAACACTCATTTTATGACATTGAAATGGAAATAGATGGGTCAGGAAAGCGACAGCAGCAACCCGAGACAACTGTTCCTTACAAACACACAGAACCATGGAAAAAAGAAGCTACAAAGTGAACATGATTATTAACTTTTGAAAACTGTAACTATAATGTGATTTTGGCAATGCAGAAAAATCATTTTTTCCTCTCTGATATAATGGTCATTTAGTGAATTGTCTTT